CAGACGAGATTCTGAGAATCGAGCAATCGATCGTCGCCCTGAATGCAGGCAACCTCGTGTGGCAAAGAACGAAAGTAGGGAGAGAACGATAAAAAATCAGAAGAAATGGAAGAGGAGGCAACGGAGAAGGAATATTAGAACAGGAAGAAGACGAAGATGAAGAAGAGGAAGCAAATGAGTAAGAAAAAGGAGAGGAAAAGGAAAGATTATGATAAGTGAAAAATGAACACACGATGAAGAAAAAAGAGAAGAGGAATGAGATGCTACAAATGGCGAAAGGAGAAGGAAAGCAAGGTAAATAATATAAAGAATAAAATAAGGACAATAATGATACTGATTATGATTCAATTCAGTTCCTTGATTATAACAATAATGGTTCTGATAACAACAATGACGCAGAATTAATTGGCGAGCCCTATTGCCTAAAGTTGTGCTACGTCTCGCGTGCCTCCAAAAGACGAGTCCTGAGCTCGAGCTTTTCGGCCTTTGCAACACGATGAGCACGGGACGAAGAACGAATAGTAGTCTGACGTACCTGTGATTTTGCAAGTGCCACTCTATGTACCAAAGTGCGCCAATTTGTTGTTGCCAGCCAGACAGTCGGCGTGTTTATCTTGACTTATCTGCTCGCACACGTGCAGTTTCTAAAGCAGAAGTAAAGAGAAGGCGCCTGTAATAACAGGCGCCGCTGAAGTGTCAAAAATTCCATCCTCATGCCGCCATCAGAAATGTGCATCCCTCTCAAAGCGCCGGGCACTTAGAAATGGTAAACAAACCCACTGCCTACACAATTTGACGTTTTGGTGCTCAAAGGAGGAAATTGCTGTGTTTATTGAGTCATGGATAATTATGAATTTCGTGACGTTACTGTAAATAATACCGAGGCACAGGTCGATGAGATTACAAAATTGGGACAAATGAAATTCCACAGCTATTATCTTCGAGAAATGTTTGTTGTTTTAGTTTATTTTCAGTAACCTAGACTATATAGCGTCGAATGAGAGGATAATAGTGAATAATGAATTGGAAAGGATGTGGAAGGAAGCGATCGTGGCCTTTAATGCACTATCCAGGCATTCGCCTGGAGGGACTTGGGAAAACCACGAAACACCCGTCACGATAGCCGGTCTCCGGGCCAAGATGTGAACCCGGGACCTCTCGAATACGAAGCTGGAGTGTTAACCACGCGACCACTTAAACTGTTTATCGTGATATGTTTCGATGCTACCATTGTGCACCACCAGTACCACAGTGGGCTAAATGAATTAGAGAGCAGAGATACGTAATTTGGACATTATAAACTAAACGACAAACAGCACTGGTAGTATTAGTCCTGTTGATATTTTAGCGTACCCAGCGAATTGTTGCGGGAGCTCGCGCCCTTATTTTTTGTTTAATTATCAGAGTTATTTGTTATCGACACAGAAAATATCGGAGTATACATTGCGATACGTCAGTATCAAAAATATCGTCAGCTGCACATAAATCCTTCTATTGATACATTCTGGCTCGTCTCTACTTCCAAATGCCAACCTTGTTAAATTGGCAGCACACCCCTGTGTGTACCGCCGAAGGTTTGTATGCCTTGGTGTATGACATTCGCACTGTGAACTCGCCCTTATATTTGTGCCACATCCTTTCGTTACACTCTGTATATTAGCAATACGGTAATCGCAGTTTGTACTGCGTACGTCATATTGTTTTTCAACACAAACATTTTTAAAAAGTAGGAATTAGAATATGAGGTTTCAAGTTCCCACGGCAACCAGTATGAAAATGACTGTTTTCCGAATGTTGCGCCGCGTTGTGTGGCCTTGTAGAAACTGATCGACAGCTTACTTACTGTCTGCATCGCCAAGAAGACAGTCATCTTCATGAGCCTTGAACTTCTCGGAACTCGTGCTTCGGAAGATAAGCTGCATAAATTCCAGGCTGCTGAGTCATTCTTACGTGGTCTTGCGGGGGCGAGTAATCATTGATTGTGCAATCCCTTTCGAGGAGTGGTGGAAACTAGCTCCAGGGTTGGAAGAGGTAAACAGGGTAGTGCCCTCCTGACCTTACTGTGTATTGCCGGATGATTGCCATGGGAATCCCTACTACTGCCACGACTGATCCACATGCGGGAAGATCGCAAATCGAATTACGAAGCAGGATTGGTTTCGCGCGTATTAGAAGCATACGGTTTGAAACCTCTCGTATTTTGAAGATGATAGATAAAAACCCAAGGCCAGTCCTGAAGTTGGAGGACAAGGTACAGAGTAATGGAGAAAAATACAGGAGGAATTTTGTAATTTGTTCTGTTTACCTTGTTATCTGGGTTTTAAATCAAGACGGATGAAGTGAATCAAAACAAAGAAGCTGGGCAGGACAAGATATCGACCATTATCGACCAATTCAGGGCATACCTACATGGCATGCTTTTATGAGCACAGTGATGAACATTTAGACATTTCTTGAGCAGCTGAGTAATTTTTATGTATATAGAGAACCCTGTTGTGGAGCAGTTTGCTTATCTAGGCTTTCACCATGGTTCCATGAAATTTTTAATTGCATCTTTCAGTGATAAGTTTTTGCTATGGTGAACTGGATTACCAATGTCTTGGAGAAATTAGCAGTCTGACTCTTCAGGTATAATGACAGTGCCCAAAGAATGAACTGGTTGTAAAACTTGAAGGATGACACTGCTAGTACCAAAGCCTGTTACCGAACATGATCCTCGTTCACTTTCATCCACTTCCAATGTAAACAACATATCCCTAAGATTTGATCGAGACTTGATCAAAATGAACCCATGAAAACTAAGAAATGATATAAAAAACGAAGCAAGTTCTATACTCTTCAAAACAGACTTACTCCACTGTTTCTAGAAGTGCTGAAAGCATATCTCAGTATTACACTGCGTTAAACTGTTTCCTTGTCAAATCTTTTGCTGTTCTTTTTTCTTTTAAAAGTAACAGAGAAGTCACAGTGAGTGGGAAGAAAGTTGCCTCATTTGTGGAATACTGTGTTCAGTTAAAAACTGACAAACTAGGCTGTGTGGGCACTTGCCAAATTCCAGTTTTGTAAACATTTATAATGTACTACATCACAATATCTCAACACTTGTAAACAGAAATGTTTGTTAACAGTATGAACAGACATCAGTTTGGTTTTGTTGTGCATGACTGCTGTTTAGTTGTAGTGTTACAACTGATATCAATATAAGATTAAAACTATAGACTACATCTCAAATAAAAGGCTTCATTAGTTTCTGCACATTTAAGCACATGAGAAGCCACAGACAAGTGGTTTTCTTTCTGTTCCTCTGTAACCAGTAGCAGAACAAACTTGGCTGGGACATGGCCCATTCCCAAATCTTCACTTAACATTATGACATGAGCCATAATAGATCAGTGAATGAAGGAAAAGGCTAAAGATGTGATAAGTGTTTGTGAGTACACTAAAGAGTAGTTCATAGTGTACCAAATTAGTGTAATTTCTTTAAGTGTATGCATAACTTGCATTTGTATTCTTCTTCATGTACATTACGTTTTTGTAACATACATTATAGATATAATAATAATCCGTGGCGTAACAGCCCTCTGAGAGCCAAAGCCGACTAGCTGACTGCTGGCCTCATGTTCACATGCCTAAGCAGAGATGAACGATCATCCAACCAGATATAGGGTGTCGTGTGGTCAGCACGACAAACCCCCAGCCATTGCTAGTTTTCCTGACCGGATTACGCTACCCATTGTAGCTCCCCAATTTCCTCACGATGCTGGATTGGCGCCAGTCCCATACACTGGTCGAAAATCTCATGAGAAATTTCTTTCCCCGAGACTCGAACCAGCGAGCATACTGTATCACCGGTCCGAAGCATGATGCCTCAGACCGTGCGGCTACGGCGCGGGACCACATTATAGACATACTACAATTTAAAAGATTAAAAACATTTTGGGACCTAGTAATATGACATACAAATAAAATATTAATGTTTAGCATGTCTGTTCTGAAAAAGTGAAGCATATCGCAGAGTGTGAAAATATTGTGGCAGGAACAATTTATCTCAGGGCTAGTAGCCAGTGGTAGCCACTGAATAGGATGGAAGGCCTTAGATTCAGTCTTGGTATAGTAGTGAAGAGAAAATTTCCTGCTAGGAATTGAATGTTAGTCATCCACGTGAGATTTCAGGCTGTCACATTGTTGAGTACAAAAATCGCCATCTTCAGGGACGCTACACCATGCAGTATGGCAGAAACTGACCTTTCAGAGGTGCTTAATACTACATCATCAGGGTGACAATGGAGGCAGTAAGCATCTCCAAAATGTCGGCCAGTTTCTGCCATACTGCATGGCACAATATTCCAGTTGTCGTCTCAGTCACTATACATAGTTATTCATTCACTTAGGTTTCAAATTAAGTGATAGTCCTGAAATGCAGCACTAATTACACTATTAAGCACTCATATAATCTGTGACCTCTATATTTTTCTTGATTTGGATTTAGCAGTGTTCAATATTCAGGTTCTATTGCCTACCAATCAGTAAATTACTTAAATATATCAATGTTGGTGTTCTGGGTAGTAAAGCCCTAAAAACTGAGATAGCATGTTCCTCTGAAATGTTGGTATCTACCTACAAGTCACATGGCATTACTATCCAGAAGACCAACACTGTGCCTGCCAGTTCTGAGTTCAGTTCCAGACAGGCTACCCAAAGATGGTCATGAACTGGATATTTGGTGTTTCTTCCAATTTATATGCTAAGGAAGGGTATTAAGGTAGGTTTTTGTATTGGACAGCACCTTTCTTAATGTTTATAATTGATACTACATAAGACATTCATTACACATGTGTAACATTTACGAGCTGTTGAGAGATCAGGCTTCTACTCTCTGACTTACAGCACCTTCGTGTGTGATCAAAATAACAAACATTTCAGTAAACAAATGCTGTTATTACCACAATCTTTTACTGTTTGCAGGTGCCATTTTTATGATAGGGAAAGTGGGTTTTATTTCATCATGACCAACCAATGACTGCAATAGGCTTCTGATGATGAATCTGCCAATGGAAGTTTTAAAGCCACTTCATATACAAGTGGAAGTGTGGTCTCAATACACTTCAGCTATATATTTTAGTGAGTGAAATCATGTTCTGGTGATGCTCTCAACCTAAACCGTGTTTAAATTTATATCTACAACGTTAACAAAGATGCCCATTTAGATTTAGATTCATGAACTAACAAGCATTGTGAATATTCTCTGCACACTCTAAATTATCCCAACATTTTGAATATAATTAACTGAAAGCAGCCAATTAGATCACATAGTGCTTCTAGTGGCAACATGTTGACCAACAATTATTATAAACTTTCACAACCTAGTGAAGTGTACATAATTGTAATTATGTGAGAGGATCATCATCATCATTCCTTCACAGCACCTCGTGTATAATCCCTGGGATAAGATTCATCTCACTTGAGCTACCTATCCAATTAATTAACCAAATTAACTCTGAGACATAAATTAACACCCATCCTAATCAGCCGGGCAACCTGTTGTGTGAAAGTGACAGAGGTGGACGATCAGAACACCAACATCTTCAGTGACATAAGAACCTCAAATCTCACATACTTAAGTACAACTTAAATAGAGTATACTACTGTACATCCAGATTGCAAAATTCTCTATTATGCCAACAAATGCAGTCAGCATAAGTGTAATATTTACATTAGAAAGAACAAAAATACATGAGAATCTTCATTCCTGCACATGGCAGAAATTTGTTATCTGTACCATTCATGTCTTTCGTATATCACACATGTGAACCAAAACAATGAAATCAAACTCACATATAATACTGTTCTGTGACCTAACAACAATCAATCAACTAGCAAGGTCTGTTCGATCTGATACATGATACAGCCCTGCTAAAGCTTCTTGCAGGGCTCGAAGGCAAGAAATATTAGCTCTGTATCCCCCGGCTCGGTGCTCATCTTTTTCATGCTCCACGTGGTTTACATAGCCCTTCACTTCCAGATCTGACCAAGTAGGTGGTAGAGGGCCATCTGTTGGTTGTCTTGGAGCTTCATACATGTATAAAGGTCCTTCCTCAATTTTGGGTACTGATAAGAAACTCTGTTGTCTCTGGTGACCAAACTTTATGCCTGTAGAGAAATGAGTTGCCTTAACAACAGGAACCTGCTTCACCTCTTCCTTTGCTGCTTGTACATTATTTGCAAATGTTTCCAAAATATTTTTTGCATCTGCATTAGAAAACATTAACTCATCAATGAGGGCTTCTTTTTCTCTTATTTTCTTCTTCTTTTCTTCCTGTTCAAGTTTCACTAATTCTTTCTTTCTTACTTCTCCTTGTTGTTTTTCTTCTTCAAGGAGTTCCTCCAATTCCATTTCTTCTCTTCCTATTTTAGATTTATTTTTTAAAATCACGTCTTTGTTTTCTTTTTTGTACTGCTCTATCTTCTTATTGGTTGTAATGACATCCACATTATTAGTTAAGTTGAGTATGATAGTTTCTACTTCTTCCAAATAGTCATTATACTCTCGCAATGTACTGAAATCCTCTTCTTTCTTGTTAAAATCTCTTAGAACCCTTTTTCGTATGTCAACCTCCTTTTCAACCATGGAGTCCTCAAAGAGTTGAACTCGAAAATTGCTTCGCCGCAGTGGTACATTGCATTCAGGGCATGATCCTGATCCTACACAGGGAGGAAGGAAAATGCATAATTACTATTCAAGATCTCAATTAATTAAATTGTTAAATATAAATAATATGGCTGATGTAGTCAAGCGGGTTGTGATCTGTACAGCGTTGTACGTGGATGAAAGCTGGTATCCACCTACATGATGTCACAACTCAGAAGGCCACATCTTTACTACCAGAGAAATCTCAGATCTAAGATGGTTAAAGTAATTTCTATTCTTTGTTCTCTGCAAGAAATAAACATATATTTAAGAGGTTGTGTCTGCCTGTAGGAATGTTTCACTTTCAAAACCACTGAACAGATTTTGGTGAAATTCAATATATGAGAGAATGCAATAAAAACTGTCAGGCAGATTTTATTTTGGCCTACACTGGCTTAATACAATCCCAACCCTACATGATTTGAATTTTATTAAACTTTTCAAGAATAGCTCATAACATACGTGTGTGTGTGTGCGCACACCATCAACACCATTGCCTAGCTTTATTTTAAAAAAATTTTCCCATGTGATGTATACTTAATGCCGTCACAGTGGCCGCGTGGTCTGAGGCGTGGGCCTTGTGCTGCTTGGTCACTGGGACCGTGGGTTTGAATCCCACTCAAGGCAGGGATGTTTGTCCGTGTTTTTCTATGTTGCGCTGTCCTGTGTACAGGTAGAGGCCTTGTGATGGGCTGATCACTCGTCCAAGGAGTCCTACCAACTGTCTAATAGATCAAAGCCAACGAAAGTTGGGACCCGCAGATGCTCAAGGCACTGAAGAACGGGTCGCCTAAGTATCTTAAGTAAGTATACTTAATAAAGTAACTTCACAGAGCAAAGAGCACAGACCTTCTTGAGATGCTGAGAGTCATGTCAGTGACAAGAAATTCCCCAAATTTAACGGAACCTGAAGATTCATTGTCATGTTCATCAGTCTACCAAAAAATCCATCAAGTCTGAGACCAAAGGTGGCTAGCTTTTGGGGTGATCTGCTGTGTAGTCTGGTAGATAATGTCTGACATTTAAGAAGAGCTCACTGCTTCCATCATCAGGAAAATTCTACCAGAGTACATAATGCTACATCGCAGGAGACAACCATCTTCACACTAGTCACTGTTAGAACCTGAAATCTCACCCAGTCTGAAACCATTTGACAGTTCATAACATTCTAGTTATACTATAGTGAGGTGTTGTCAGTCCCCTGACCAATTTCCAAGTTGGAGAAACACCTACAATCAGCTGTGACATATTTGCAGCTATCCTCCATGTCTAGAAGCTGTGTAAGAGAAATACATACATTAATGGTCTGCATTAGATCCCCAAAGGGTTCTGAATAGGTGGAATTTTTTTTTTTAACCAAGTGTTAAATGTCCATGGGGTTAATGATATTACAGATATCTACACATACGACTGAGCCATTAGTGCCAGAACCTAGTCTTATCGAAGTGGAGAGTGCTATTAAGAAGTTGAAAAAGTATTGCATTTTGAGATTCATAAATTTCTTTGCTCTGTATGGAATATGGAGGAAATGACACAGCAATGGAAGGAATTTATTATTGTACCAATTCATAAATAGGGAGATGCTCTGTTGCCACTACTTTTCAATTTTGCCTTAGAATATGCCATCAGGAAAATCCAAGAAAATCAAGGCATTTTGGAATTGAGTGGGATACGTCAGCTTTTGGTCTATGTTGATGATATTAATCTGTTGGGTGATAATATAAATACTATAAAAGTGAAGACATTAACACTCTTAAGGGCTAGTAGGGATAATTTTGCCAGTTCTGCTATATGGGTGTGAAACTTGGTCTCTCACTTTGAGGGTCTTTGAGAACAGAGTGTTGAGGAGGATAGAAGGGAGGAAGACAGGTCATGGAGAAAATTTCATAATGATGAGCTTCACAGCCTGTACTCACCTAATTTTGTTAGAGTGATTAAATTGAGAAGGATGAGGTGGGCAAGACATGTGGCAGGGGAGGGGTATTTACAAGGTATTGGTTGGGAGGCCTGAAGGGAGGAGACTACTGGGAAGACCTAGGTATAGGTGGGAGAATAACATTAAGATAGGAATCAATGGAGCAAACTGGATGCATGTAGCTCAGGATAGAGTCTGATGGTGGTCTTTCCTGAACACGATGAACCTTCAGGTTCCATAAAGAAAGTGGCCTATTCTTTGACAACTTGAGTTTACAATCAAATTTTTATACTTCAGACAGGAAATGGAAAGGAATAATACAAAAAGTACACACACACATAAAATATATTTCTCCATTCCTAATTAGCTTTGGGGGGGGGGGGGGGAAGAAAAACAAGGCAGGGATGTTTGTCCGTGTTTTTCTATGTTGCGCTGTCCTGTGTACAGGTAGAGGCCTTGTGATGGGCTGATCACTCGTCCAAGGAGTCCTACCAACTGTCTAATAGATCAAAGCCAACGAAAGTTGGGACCCGCAGATGCTCAAGGCACTGAAGAACGGGTCGCCTAAGTATCTTAAGTAAGTATACTTAATAAAGTAACTTCACAGAGCAAAGAGCACAGACCTTCTTGAGATGCTGAGAGTCATGTCAGTGACAAGAAATTCCCCAAATTTAACGGAACCTGAAGATTCATTGTCATGTTCATCAGTCTACCAAAAAATCCATCAAGTCTGAGACCAAAGGTGGCTAGCTTTTGGGGTGATCTGCTGTGTAGTCTGGTAGATAATGTCTGACATTTAAGAAGAGCTCACTGCTTCCATCATCAGGAAAATTCTACCAGAGTACATAATGCTACATCGCAGGAGACAACCATCTTCACACTAGTCACTGTTAGAACCTGAAATCTCACCCAGTCTGAAACCATTTGACAGTTCATAACATTCTAGTTATACTATAGTGAGGTGTTGTCAGTCCCCTGACCAATTTCCAAGTTGGAGAAACACCTACAATCAGCTGTGACATATTTGCAGCTATCCTCCATGTCTAGAAGCTGTGTAAGAGAAATACATACATTAATGGTCTGCATTAGATCCCCAAAGGGTTCTGAATAGGTGGAATTTTTTTTTTTAACCAAGTGTTAAATGTCCATGGGGTTAATGATATTACAGATATCTACACATACGACTGAGCCATTAGTGCCAGAACCTAGTCTTATCGAAGTGGAGAGTGCTATTAAGAAGTTGAAAAAGTATTGCATTTTGAGATTCATAAATTTCTTTGCTCTGTATGGAATATGGAGGAAATGACACAGCAATGGAAGGAATTTATTATTGTACCAATTCATAAATAGGGAGATGCTCTGTTGCCACTACTTTTCAATTTTGCCTTAGAATATGCCATCAGGAAAATCCAAGAAAATCAAGGCATTTTGGAATTGAGTGGGATACGTCAGCTTTTGGTCTATGTTGATGATATTAATCTGTTGGGTGATAATATAAATACTATAAAAGTGAAGACATTAACACTCTTAAGGGCTAGTAGGGATAATTTTGCCAGTTCTGCTATATGGGTGTGAAACTTGGTCTCTCACTTTGAGGGTCTTTGAGAACAGAGTGTTGAGGAGGATAGAAGGGAGGAAGACAGGTCATGGAGAAAATTTCATAATGATGAGCTTCACAGCCTGTACTCACCTAATTTTGTTAGAGTGATTAAATTGAGAAGGATGAGGTGGGCAAGACATGTGGCAGGGGAGGGGTATTTACAAGGTATTGGTTGGGAGGCCTGAAGGGAGGAGACTACTGGGAAGACCTAGGTATAGGTGGGAGAATAACATTAAGATAGGAATCAATGGAGCAAACTGGATGCATGTAGCTCAGGATAGAGTCTGATGGTGGTCTTTCCTGAACACGATGAACCTTCAGGTTCCATAAAGAAAGTGGCCTATTCTTTGACAACTTGAGTTTACAATCAAATTTTTATACTTCAGACAGGAAATGGAAAGGAATAATACAAAAAGTACACACACATAAAATATATTTCTCCATCCCATGTTTTAGAGGTCCTTGCTGTCTCCATCATGATGGAGGCACCAAGGACCTCTGAAACATCGGTAAACTTCTACCAGACTGCACAGTGCAACAACCCAGAAGACAGCCATCTTCCTACTTACATTACAGTTTGTAACTGTAAATGAAGTCTGATTTCAGAAATGTTATTATTCCAAATAATTTTGTTTGAATTAGTAACTGTAAACAGCATCTGAATTTATAAATGGTTATAAATTGTTCCAAATTACTATATAAGCCTAACTCTGTGAAGTCTCCTGTCCCATTATATGGTCAATTACATTCGGTATAACACAGACTATAAAGTAATCAGGTTATTACATTTTTGTATACTGTGGAGAAGCAGTGTTAAAATAGAGCATCATTAAGCGTTATATTGCTACCTGTGAATAACAGTTTCTACACTCTTACCATATTGCTTATAACAGACCCCAAAACCCTGCACAAACCTTTAAGGAATAGTAGATCCACACAACTTTCACACAGTGCATGGCCACAAATGTTCACCATAAGTTTCAATGATGGGTTTCTATATTTCGTAGTTTTACATCGAGGACACACCTGTTCATCCATCCTGCAACAAGAAATAAATATCAACAACCAAAATCAGAGAACAATCATTATCATAACTTTCAACAAGAATGCTTACTTGTTACTTTGGAAAATACGGCTCTTTGCTGCTGTGTTTAAGAAAAATTAACACAGAAGACGTACTTTATGAAACAACCCTACTTTATTTAATATAATAAATACACGCACTAAAACGAAAAAGATAACCTAACATTTTGTACAGTATACACACCGCACACAAATCTCGGTGAGTGAATAACACGTTTTTACCGACTAGCCGCCAGATCCATCTGATAGTAGTTTTACAGCAGATGCGGATAGATGGCAGGACAATATATACGTGACGTCATAGCTCTTGTTTATTGCCAACCTTCAACTAATAGTGACCAAGCTTCACATACATAATAGTGATCAATCTGTATGTTGGTATTGTGTGTGGTACATAGTGTACTGAGATCTTCCTACTGTCATTAACGGCGCCAAAATAATCGCCATCTTGGAGGCTGCCGGCAGGGAGTATGCTGGTTGCTGCCTTTTTATATGGTTGTTTCATGCTTTATATGTCAAGTTCAACTTGTGGTTCAACAGTTAGCTCGATCCCGTAGGTTCTGAAAATGGTATTCGTTTGAGTAAGATGTCGGCGAAGAATTTATGGTAAGTAATCATGTTTGTTGATGTTGACATTATGTGTGATACTCCAGTCTTTTGTATTGTGTTTGTTTGTGAACTACAGATTTATTTTAATACGTTTGTTTTTGATAACGTATTTGGGGTAAGGACGTTCTGGTTTGTTTAAAAGGGTTTTTTTTGCTGATGTTACGTGGTGACAGTCGCGAGGTGTCTTACGTAAGTTATTTTGATACGTTGTGAAGGTGTGAAAATAATTGTGACAATTGTGCTTTGAATGTGACCTTTTCGTCAGACCGAGATTCCTCAGTGACAGTACAGTACTTTCAAAATTTTAAGGGACACCTTAGATTTACAAATACTGTGTCTTTTTAACCAAATTTTGTATTTTCCTGCAGACTTTTAAGGATTTTAAACTTTTTATTGAGCTTTTTGTTTTGTACTCGTCTTTGTGATGCCATACTGATGACATGGTTACTTTGAACTTTTATCAGAATGAGAAAACAATTGGTAGATTTGTGATATGCAATAATATACTATCACATTTTGTGATTTTCTTTTGTGTTTGCTAAATATGAAAACATATCAACAGTGTGAAACTGAAGTTATATGAAAAAGTGTAATTTATTTGAAGTGTAATATGAAATCACAATTATTACTTCACAAGTTTCACTGGTGGCTGAATTTAGAGGAAAGAATATTTCATTAATTTTTCCAGGCACTTATTGTTTAAAAATGTCTCAAGTGAAATGCCCATTCCTTCTTCGTTGACATACAAGTACTCTTTGTATACACTGCAAGCAAATAAATTTTATGTGCCAGTTCTTGGAATGGGTTGAGTTTGGATGTCAGTTTACACCTTTGAAGAAGGGCTCATCTCATAGTTAACAAGAAATTATTTTTTGTTCATTCCATTCTGGACAGCATGCAGTGGCAGAATGATGTAACAGCAGCTATGTTTTTTCCAGTAACCGTGTACAAACATTTCCTACTCTGCTGTTTTGACCAGAAGTAGATTGAACCACTTTTAAAACCAATAGACAAATGTGAGGGTAACGTTTATGACGTTTGTATTTCTACCCAAGAATGCTTTCCTCTGTTTTGCACTGACATTATTCACTGATTTTTTCTAGTTTAATATTTCTTGACATTATCTGATTCACATTCATTTTATCTGCTTTAGGAGCAGCTGTCCTACTTGCCCCAGTATAGTCCTTACTGCCTCTGACATGCCTATCATAGTAGAAATTAATTTATGGCATACACAAATTTAAGAAATGTTAGCAAACTAGAGTTAATATTATCAAAGATGAGAATGGTTATCTGCCCGCAGATCCCCACAGGGTTTTGAATAGGTGGAAAAATTTCTTTAACCAGGTGTTAAATGCTCATGGGCCTAATGATTAAAAAAAATTAAATCTGTGGCATAACAGCTCCAGAGAGCCAAAGCCGGCTAACTTGACTGCTGGCCTCACGTTCACATGCCTATGCAGAGGTGAACGATCATCCAACCAGATATAGGGTGACATGTGGTCAGCACGACGAACCCCAGCCATTGCTAGCTTTCTTGACCGGATTACGCTACTCATTGTAGCTCCCCAATTTCCTCACGATGCTGGGTTGGCACCGGTCCCATACACTGGTCGAAAGCTTGTGAGAAGATTTTTTCTCCCCTGAGACTCGAACCAGCGCGCATTCCGTATCGCCGGTCCGAAGCATGATGCCTCAGACCACGCGGCTACGGCGCGGGGCCTAATGATATTACGCAGATAGATATACTTACAGGTGAGACATTAGTGCCAGAACCTAGCCGTATCGAAGTGGAGACTGCTATTGAGAAGTTTAAAAAGTATAAATCTCCTAGAACTGATCACATTCTGGTTGAATTGCTCAAAGTATGGGGTAGAACATTCCGTTCAGAGATACACAAACATATTTGCTCTATATGGAATGAGGAGGAAATGCTACATCAGTGGGAGGAGTCTGTTATTATACCAATTCATAAGAAGGGTAATAAGACTGATTGTAATAATTATCGAGGAACCTCGCTTATCATCATCAGCCTATGACTCCATTAAAAGAGGCTCTTTACAGAGTTTTGCTTGAACTTGATGTGCCTAAGAAGCTAGTCAGGTTAATTAAAATTTTTCAGTGAAACCTCTAGTAAAATTTATGTAGGTAAACATTCCTTTGATACACTTCCTATTCAGAATGGCCTGAAACAGGGAGATGCTCTGTTGCCATTACTTTTCAGTTTTACCTTTGAATATGTCATCAGGAAAATCCAAGAAAATTAAGGCATTTTGGAATTGAGTGGGACACGTCAGCTTTGGTCTGTGCTGATGATATTAATCTGTTGGGCGATATTATAAATATTATAAAAGCAAACACAGAAACATTCTTAAGGGCTAGTGGATGTAGGATTTTAGGTTTTCATGGTGGTATGTCTGAAGATGGCTGTGTTCTGGGTTGTTGCACCGTGTAGTCTGGTAAGATTTTACTGATGTTTGAGAGGTCCTTGCTGCCTCCATCATTAGGGCTAGTAGGGATGTTGGTCTAGAAGTAAATGCAGAAAAGACAAAGTATATGATCACGTCTTCGCATCAGAATTTATGACAGAACCAGAATTTAATGACAGCTAATGAATTGTTAAAAAATGTAACAAAATTCAAGTACTTGGGGTGAGGACACCAACAAGTCAGAATGAAGAATTTGAGGTTTTCACGGCAGTGAGTCTGAAGGTATCTGTTTTTTGGGTTATTGCAATGTGTGTGGTCTGGTAGAAGTTTACCTACATTTCAGAGGTCCTCACTGAAGGAAGCAAGGACCTCTGAAATGTAGGTAAACTTCTACCAGACTATACGGTGCAACAAACCAGAAGGCAGCCATCTTCAAGTCATAATGACATTCATGATGAAATCAAGAGCAGATTAAATTCAGGGAATGCTTGCTATCATCCAGTCCCAAATTTTTTGTCCTCCCATTTCATGTCAAAGAAACTAAAGATTAAAATATACAATAGTGTAATTCCATTTGTGCTCTATGGGTGTGAAACTTGGTCACTCATTTTGAGGGAGGAACATGGATTGAGGGTATTTAAGAACAGAGTGTTGAAGATATTTGGACATAAAAGGGAGGAAGATGCATCATGGAGAAAATTTCATAATGATTAGCTTCACTGCCTGTACTACTCACCTGATATTGTGAGGGTGATTAAATTGAGGATGGGTGGGACATGCAGCACGCATGGGGCAGGGAAGGGGTGTTTACAAGGTATTGGTTGGGAGGTATGAAGGGAAGTGACTGCCTGGAAGACCTAGGCATAGGTGGGAGGATATTGTTAAGATGGAGCTTAGGGAGATATTAATCAGTGGAGCAAACTTGATACAGCTAGCTAAGGATAGAGTCTGGTGGCAGGCTTTTGTGAACATGGTGATGAACATCCAGGCCCCCCCAAAAAAGTGCGCTATTCTTTGACAAGCTTTGTTCTTATGCTAAGTTTCACCAACATATAAGAGTTGCATCATTTTATAAAATTTTAATTTTGCATAAAATGGACAGATAATGAATCTGCTTGAAGGATTTTGATCATATTTGGTACTGGATGGGTTTATACACTGAAAACTGTTGTACAGTCTTAATTTTGGTCTCTAATGAGTGAATATTACTCATACTTTAATTATGCTTAAAAATGTTTTTGAAAAATATCTTATTGTGTAAAGATGTTATGCAGATGAAATGTAGGTGTTAAGATCCACAACTTTTAGTTGAAAATTTGTTCAATTTTGCATTTGTTTAGGGAAATACAAGGAAAAATAATTCTTTACTATATACATTGTGATTTCTGCAGTATGATTGTCTTTGGAACATTAGATTTGAAGTAACATCAGGAATAGTGAGTTATACAAAATTGCAAACATATTTTATCTGTGTACTTTTCCATTCCTGTTGACAGGATGCAGTGTTCAGCTTATGAGATTATTTTACATTCTAAGATTTTGATTGCAAATTGGCTTGTTCCATATGTAGTATTAGTGTATGTCTAGATCAACATTTGTATTTGTGAATGTCTGAACATGGCTCAAGTGAGCATGCTGTGTATATATGATTGTCATCCCATTAATATTTTATTGTTTATAAACAGGGGCAACTTCACATTTACCTTCAGTGATTTATCGAAATATCTTACAGATTGGTCAATGTTGACTAAGCTGTAGCTCAGCTTAGTTGTGAATAGTGTTTTCTATTTATTACTATTTTATAATGAACTGTATAATTTGAGAAAGTAGGGGACATCTCTGTGTAGAGGGATAGATAATGTTTTTGCAGATTGTTACAATGTTTCATGATGAAAATGTAAAAACAAAATGTATAAGATACAAGTGGGTATAACTAAGGGAAGACTGGTCCACAAAATATCAGTGTTTGTTGGACATGGTGTTGTTTATGGGAAACTTATTAAGTAAATGAATAATGTATTATAAACTACATGCTTAATTTTATGTTGAAATGCTTATGAGCCTTGCTGTCTGTGTGAGTTTTGTTGAAATTTGACATTTGTGATGCTGGGATAAGAAAGTAGAGCCAAGAATTACAGGCAGTTTAGTCTTCCATTTTAAGACTTTCAAGAAGTTGAATGCATTTGTTTCATTAAGTATTCAGAACAGTCAAAGTATGTTATGTATAAAATTTGTAGGTGATGTTGCATGGAACATTTAACATGGGTACTGTTTCCTTGTTATAGTGGGTTGTTATTTTGCAGCAAGGCAAATTATCTTGGATTAAGTGAAATAGTTTCACACAGGATCTAGCCAAGATTGTATCTCCTGACAGGAGTAAAAAAGTTTTTCTGCCAAACTCACAGAAAGGACTGTTTTCTCCACCCAAAATCAATAGAAGGCGACTTCCTATTCTTTGTGAGCATGTAGGACCACAGATCAGCACTTCCTCATTGCTAACATAATACATGAAAGATTTTTCCCGTAAACATTCTGCGTGGTTCTTAAAATTTAAATTAATTTGTTCAT